TCTTAGCACAACTCTTAGACAGTTGAAGCTTCTGTAAAACTCTCCAGAATATCTCCAACTTAGAAACAGCACTCAGAAGTAGCAACCAAGCTATATTAGCCAAGCTAATGGCAACAGCCTTTATATAACTCCTAAAATCACCAACCACTAGGAATGTTTAACACCTGGGTAGGCCTCTGCTTATTTGCAAACAATAGCTAATTTAAACAGCAATCAATAGCAAGTAATCTAATCAAATGCCTTATAATTACCAACAGAAATTCAAACCTTGTGCAATCAGTAACCTTTTCCTACAGATGAATCTTACCTGTAACAGTAGAAAAGAAAGCTCTTAGCACAACTCTTAGACAGTTGAAGCTTCTGTAAAACTCTCCAGAATATCTCCAACTACACACTTAGAAATAGCACTTAGAAGTAGCAACCAAGCTATATTCCAGTTCTGGTTTTGCTTTTCACAAGAAGCATTACCTGATGTGAATGATGCCTCGCACAAAAGAGCTCTCAGAAGACCTAAGATTAAGAATTGTTGACTTGCATAAAGCTGGAAAGTGTTATAAAAGTATCTCCAAAAGCCTTGCTGTTCATCAGTCCATGGTAAGACAAATTGTCTATAAATGGAGAAAGTTCAGCACTGCTGCTACTCTCCCTAAGAGTGGCCGTCCTGTAAAGATGACTGCAAGAGCACAAAGCAGACTGCTCACTGAGGTGAAGAAGAATCCTAGAGTGTCAGCTAAAGACTTACAAAAGTCACTGGCAAATGCTAACATCCCTGTTAGCGAATCTACAATACATAAAACACTAAACAAGAATGGATTTCATGGGAGGATACCACAGATGAATCCAAAGCATAGAAGTAAGTCAACAACAGAATGACTTAAACAGAAGAAAATACACCTTCTGAAGTGGCCCGGTCAGAGTCCTGACCTCAACCCGATTGAGATGCTGTGGCATGACCTCAAGAAAGCGATTCACACCAGACATCCCAAGAATATTGCTGAACTGAAACAGTTCTGTAAAAAGGAATGGTCAAGTATTACTCCTGACCGTTGTGCATGTCTAATCCTCAACTACAGGAAACGTTTGGTTGAAGTTATTGCTGCCAAAGGAGGTTCAACCAGTTATTAAATCCAAGGGTTCACATACTTTTTCCACCTGTGAATATTTACATGGTGTGTTCAATAAAAACATGGCAACATTTCATTCTTTGTGTGTTATTAGTTTAAGCAGACTGTGATTGTCTATTGTTGTGACTTAGATGATGATCAGATCACATTTTATGACCAATTTGTGCAGAAATCCATATCATTCCAAAGGGTTCATATACTTTTTCTTGCAACTGTATATGTATTGTATATATATATATATATATATATATATATATATATATATATATATATATATATATATATATCTATATATATATATATATATATATATATATATATTGTCAGTATATTTATACTGGCAGACATTTTGTGTTAAGACAGAAACTAAAAGTGTATACTGCAAGTCACCATCATAACAGAGGTGACTCCATTTCGTATTACAAGGCTAAGACAGACACAAATCTCTCTCTCTGTAACTCTATTTATTCACGTCTGAGCTAAGGAATGCGACTTATGTAAACACTTGGTAGAGATAAAATCTGAGATGTCTACAGCAAATGGGGGGTTCAATGCTACACACACACTATCCACATATAACTTACTAATATTATATTAATCATATATAATTATTACTATGTTGATAATATAGAATAGAATGTATTTTTACTAACGTTAGTGGAATATGTGTAATAGACATGTAGAAATAATATTAACTATGTAGCTACACACAGGATTACCAATGACAGATAACACTAAGTCATTAATTTTACTTTCTAAAAAAGAGTACAATTGTAAGGAAAGGTGAAATTAAGGCTACATATGCCAATTCTAAAATTACCACCGAAAAACCAGATGCTCTGGCTGGTTGAAAACCAGCCAAAGCCTTTGAAGATGACAGCTTCTGTGACGAACAATAGCCAAAAAAGATAACCAGATGATGTCAAATGTATCACGAAATTCAGTTAATCCATTATAAAAAAATGTAAATGGACCCCCTGACAAGAATTTTCGGTGACGTAATTGCGCCATCTACTGACCAAAATCTAGATGATAGTCTGTAGGGAAGACACGCCCACAGTTCCCTATTGGTCCTATCAACTAGTGACGTGTAGAGAATTTTCACCTTTAAAAATGAAGGACAAAGGAGAGAGAGGGATACTCTGATACTGGTCTCAAGACTCTCAGACTCTCAACACTCTTAGACTACTACACTTAAAAATCACTCTTAGACATAAACTCAAGACTTACACTTAAAATCTAAGATCTGATATCTGGAGCCAAAGCTGGACACACCTAGTTCTTTATATTTTTCCAAGTAACACAACTTCAGAACTCTGGAAAACCTTTCTATTTCCATACAATTCTCTCATCTTACTTGCATTCAAAATTCCTGGGACATATCTACATATCTGATAGAAAATCTACAACCTAAACTGGTAATTATGCTG